CAAGACAAAAGAAATCTTAAATTACCAGGGAAAACCCATCACACTAGCGGAAGATTTCTCAACAGAAATTTGGCAAGACAGAAGAGAGTGGCATGATATATTTAAAGTGCTGAATGGGAAAAATCTGCAGCCAAGAATAAAAGATATCCAGGGGTGCCTGGGTGGCTCAGTTGTTAGGTGTCTGCCTTGGGTTCAGGTCATAATCCCAGGGTCCTGGGATCGAGCCCCGCATCAGTCTCCCTGCTCAGCCAGGAACCTGTTTCTCCCTCTCCCACTCCCCCTGCTTGTGTTCCCTCTCTCACTGTCCCTCTGTCAAATAAATAAATAAAATCTTAAAAAAAAAAGAATAAAAGATAATCCAGGAAGATTATCATTCAGAATAGGAGAGATAAAGAGTTTCCCAGACAAACGAAAACTAAAGGAGTTTATGACCATTAAATCAGCCTTGCAAGAAATATTAAAGGGGACTCTATGAATGCAAAGGAGAGGCCAAAAGTGACAAAGATAAGAAAGGACTAGAAAAAATCTCCAGAAACATTGACAAAACAAGTAATAAAATGGCAATAAATACATATCTATCGATAATTACTTTGAATAAAGATGGACAAAATGTTCCAACCAAAAGACATAAGATAAAAAAGTAAAACCCATCTATTTGCTGCCTACAAAAGACTCATTTTAGACCTAAAGACACCTGGAGGTTGAAAGTGAAGGGATGGAGAAACATTTATCATGTGGATAAGTGACATCAAATGGATGTCAAAAGAAAGCCAGAGTAGCAATACTTGAGTGCAATACTTAAGTTAGACAAACTAGATTTTTAAAAAAGACTGTAACAAGAGACAAAGAAGGCACTATATAATCATAAACTGAACAAAACAACAAGAAGATGTAATAATTGTAAATATTTATGCACCCAACATGGGACCACCCAAATACATAATACAATAATAAACATAAAGGAACCAATTGACAAAACACAATAATAGTAGAGGACTTTAACACCCCACTTACACCAATGGACAGAGCATCTAAACAGAAAATCTAAAGGAAACAATGGCTTTGAATGACACATTGGACCAGCTGGACTTCACAGATATATTCAGAACATTCCGCCAGAAAACAGCAGAATACACATTCTTTTCAAGTGCACATGGAACATTCCCCAGAATAGGTCTTATATTAGGTCACAAAACAGGCCACAACAAATAAAAAAAGACTGAGATCATATCATGCACCTTTTGTGACCACAATAAAATGAAACTACAAGTCAACTACAAGAAAAAATTTGGAAAGACCACAAATAGAAGGAGGTTAAATGACATGCTACTAAACAATGAACGGGTCAAACCAGGAAATCAAAGAAGAAATTTAAAAAAAATACATGGAAACAAATGAAAGTGAAAACAGGATGGTCTAAAACCTTTGGGATGCAGTAAAAGCAGTCATAAGAGGGAACTATATAGCAATACAGGCCTTCCTCAAGAAGCAAGAAAAATCTAAAACAAATAACCTAACCTTACACTTAAAGGAGATAGAAAAAGAGCAACAAATGAAGCCTAAAGCCACAACGGAAGGAAGGAAATTATAAAGGTTATAGCAAAAACTAAAAAAACAATAGAACAGATCAATGAAAGCAGGAGCTGGTTCTTTGAAAAAATTGATAAACCTCTAGCCAGATTACCAAAGAAAGAGAGAGAGAGAAAGAGAAAGAGAGATAAAGGTCCCAAATAAAATCACAAATAAGAGAGGACAAATAACAACCAACACCACAGAAATGCAAACAATTATAAGAGAATATTATGAAAAACTATATGCCAACAAATTAGACAACCTGGAAGAAATGGATAAATTCCTAGAAACATATAAACTACCAAAACTGAAACAGGAAGAAATACAAAACTTTAACAGACCAATAACCCACAAAGAGACTGAATTATTAATCAAAAAACTCCCAAAAAATGAAAGTCCAGGGCCAGATGGCTTCACAGGCAAATTCTACCAAACATTTAAAGAAGAGTTAATACCTATTCTTCTCAAACTAAACCAAAAAATAGGAAAGGAAAACTTCCAAACTTATTCTATGAGGCCAGCATTACCCTGATTCCAAAACCAAAGACCCCACTAAAAAAGAGAACTACGGGCCAATATCCCTGATGAACACGGATGAAAAAATTCTCAACAAAATACTAGCAAACTGAATCCAACAATACACTAAAAAAATCATTCACCACAATCAAGTGGGATTTATTCTGGGTTGCAAGGGTGGTTCAGTATTTGCAAATCAATCAATGTGATGCACCACATTAATAAAAGAAAGAATAAAAGCCACATGATCATTTCAATAGATGCAGAAGAAGCATTTGACAAAGTACAACATCCATTCAAGCTAAAAACCCTCAACAAAGTAGGTTCAGAGGAAACATACCTCAACATAATAAAGGCCATATATGAAAAACTCACAGCTAATATAATCTTCAATGACTGAGAGTTTTTCCTCTATGGTTAGGAACAAGGAAGGGATGTCCATTCTCACCACTGTTAGTTAACATAGTAATGGAAGTCCTAGCCTCCACAATCAGACAACAAAAAGAAATAAAAGGCATCCAAATAGGCAAAGAAGAAGTCAAACTTTCACTCAGCAGATGACATAATACTCTATGTAGAAAACCCGAAAAACTCTACCAAAAAAACTGCTAAAACTGGCACACGAATTCAGTAAAATTGCAGGATACAAAATCAACATACAGGTTATATTACAAAGCTATAGTAATCAAAATAGTATGGTATTGGCACAAAAATAGACACATAGATCAATGGAACAGAATATAGTCCAGAAATAAATTATATGATCAATTAATCTTTGACAACAGAAGCAAGAATATGCAATGGGAAAAAGAAAGTCACTTCAACAAATGGTGTTGGGAAAACTGGACAGCTATATGCAAAAGAATGAAACTGGATCACTTTCTTACACCTTACACAAAAATAAACTCAAAATGGATGAAGGACCTAAATGTGAGACCTGAAACCATAAATATCCTAGAAGAGAGCACAGACAGTAATTTCTCAGACATTGGCCATAACAACATTTTTTCTAGATATGTCTCCTGAAGCAAGGGAAACAAATGCAAAATAAATTGAGACTTTATCAAAATAAGAAGCTTCTACACAGCAAAGGAAACAGCCAATGTAACCAAGACAACCTACTGAATGGAAGAAGATATTTGCAAATGACATATATGATAAAGGGTTAGTATCCAAAATACATAAAGAACTGATACAATTCAACACCCCCAAAGAAGAAATATTCCAATTAAAAATCGGCAGAAGACGTGAACAGATATTTCTCCAAAAAAGACATACAGATGACCAATAGACACATGAAAAGATGCTCAACATCACTTATCATCAGAGAAATGCAAATCTAAACCATAATGAAATATCACCTCACAGCTGTCAGAATGGCTAAAATCAAAAACTCAAGAAACAAGTGTTGGTGAGGATGTGGAGAAAAAGGAACCCTCTTGCACTGTTGGTGGGAATGCAAACTGATGTAGCCACTGTGGAAGACAGTATGGAGGTTTTTCAAAAAATTAAAAATAGAACTATCCTAAGATCCAGTAACTGTACTACTGGGCATTTATCCAAAGAATACAAAAACACTAATTCAAAAGGATACATGCACCCATGTGTTTACTGCCGCATTATTTGCAATAGCCAAACTATGGAAGCAGCCCAAGTGTCCACCAATAGATGAATGGATAAAGAAGGGGTGGTATATACATAGAATGGAATATTTTTCAGATATAAAAAAAGAATGAAATCTTGCCCTTTGCAACAATGTGGATGGATCTAGAGAGTATAATGCTAAGCAAAATACCCAGTCAGAGAAAGACAAATACCATATGAAATGAAGAACTGAATTCCTCATTTAAAAGGTTATTCAGCTCATGACTGGAAAATGTTTTGCAGAGACTAGCTTTGGTGCTTTGTGCTACAAACCGTGTTTTATATCCACTACTCACATACGCTGGTGCTGAGGACCTTAAGATGTGATCCCATATGTGGCCTCTGTCCTTACACCTTCACATCATGATGGACAGTGAGCAGTAGGAAAATTCCTGCAAGTCATTATTACTACACTGCAACAGGTAGAAAAGAATTAACAATTTATGAAAGTAAGTGTAAACCAAAAATATACATATCCCACTAGACCCAAAGTAAATGTATCTTAACCTCAACTGTCCTTAGCAAATACCCAAAAATTCCATAGCAAATTTCATGTCATATGACACAAGGAAGAATGGGACTAAGAGGAGCTGACATGGAAAGAGGTGGCAGTATATACATGACTGCAGGTTACATAGCCTTCTTTTTAAAAAGATGACAGCTTTATTGGAATATAAATCACATACATACAATTCACAAACTCAAAAGGTACAACTCAGTGGTTTTTAGTAGATGCATAGAGTTGTTGCAACCGTCACTACAATCAATTATAGAAATTTTCATCACTCCAAAAAGAAACAGTATTATTAGCAGTATTTCTGCTCAATCCCCAGCCCTAGGTAACCAACTAATCTGCTTTCAGTCTCTATGGATTTGCCTACTCTGGACATTTCATATTATAGAATTTAATGGGTCTTTTGTGACTGGCTTCATTTCTCAAGGGTATATACTTGGGAGTAGAATTGGTGGGTCATATGGTAACTCTTAAGTTTAAACTTTTGAGGAACTGCCAAACTGTTTTCCAAATTGACTGCACCATTTTACATCCCCTACCAGCTGTGTAGGAGGGCTCTGATTTCTCCATATCCTTGCCAACACCTTTTATCATCTGTCATTTTGTTTATACCCATCTTTGTGGCCATGAAATGGTACCTCATTGTGATTTTTATTTACATTTCCCTCTTGAGTAATGATTTTGGGCATATTTTCATGTGCATTAACATTTATATATCTTCTTTGGAATAATGACTATCCTTTATATATCCTAGATAAAAGTATCAAAGGAGATTTGGATGATGCAAGTAGAAAAAATGCAGTTATTCTCGAGCAGCTGTGGCTTCATACAGTGGTGGTCAGATGTGATGTTTCTGCAGAACTGTCCAGGATCACTGACACCAGATGGCAGCACAGGTATTCAGACTTCTCCACAAATAACGGCTTGTCTACCCCTCACCAATTCTTCAGGCTGTAGTGTTTAGTAATTATACCTTCATCCTCCCCTGACTCTCCTCTTTCCAGACTTTCATACCCCAACACCCCTTTGTCATTAAAGTTAGTCCTTAGTATTCACATAATTCCTACATAAAACAAATTCTCTCTGTAATGCTTGGTGGTGGCTCTGTTTTCCTGACTGAATCCAGACCGATCACCCAACATTGTATGAGGATAAAATTCCAATAGCAGGTAATTTCAACATTTAAAGTGCTCACTGCTCTGTGCCCCTACACACAGTATAAACAGCACCTCTCTCAAGTACTCCCAAACCTCTTTCAAGTGCTCCAGGTTCCCCTGGAATTTGCTCTACTATCTTAATCTCCAAGTATTGTGGCTCTTCTGTTTGAAACCTTTCTTTTCTTTAATCTGGTGCTCCATTTCCATGACTGGAGTAAATCTATAAAAATTATCCCTGAGGGGAACCTGAATGGCTCAGTCAGTTTAGCCTCTGACTCTTAATGTCAGCTCAGATCTCGATCTCAGGGTTGTGAGTTCAAGGCCCTCTTTGGACTTCACACTGGGTGTGGAGCCTAGGTAAAAAAAAAAAAAAAAAATCCCTGAATTCATATTTCTAGCTCTAACTTTACTTATGTGTTTCAAGCCTATAAATTCAGTTCACTGTTTGACATCCCCATATCTTGCCCTGTAATTATTGCAAGTTTAACATATCCAAACTAAAACTTTTGGTTGTCTCCTGTGGTTCTAAATGTAATCCTTCCACAGTCTTCCCCATCTTGGTGAATAATGACTACTTTAATCTATCCTTGATTCCTATTGTTCTCTCAGGCCTCAAATTTAGTCCAACAACAAAACCTGTGAATTCTAAATTTGACAAACATCTAGAGTCAGACAGAAATCACTATTTCTAATCCATGTCCATATCATCACTCACCTAGAATTCTATACTAAGCTCTTAACTTGCCAACTATGTTCAGTCTTACCCTCCGAGATCTAATCTAGTTCTACGGTTTTTTGTTTTTAAAAAATTAATCAAAATTTCACATACATAAAGAATAATAACCAAATTGTAATATTATGGAGATTTTCAAAGAGTAAGCATGTCTTTGTGCCATTATATAAGTCAAGGCATAAGATTTTACAAATGTGCCCAGAAACTTAGTCATAGCACCTTCCAGATTTCCACTCCCTCTCTTTTGCCACAAAGGAACTGTAGAAAGCAATTTCTGGCACTAGCTTTCAGTGATCCCTGCCTCCTATTATTCACACTCTCATGCAATTGCCTCTGCCTTGAGTGTGAGCTGAGCCTGGTGAATTTCTTCTAGTGAACAGAATATCATAAACATGAGATGTAACTTATATGACTAAGTAACAAAAGATTGATTTCCATCTTGATAGCATTTTCTCCCTCTTATTGCTTCTCTCTATCCTATTCTCTTTTTTCTCTCTCTCCCTCCTTTCGTTCTCTCTTTCTTGGCTTGTTCACATGGATGAAGCAAGTTACCATGGTAGAGAGGCCCACATGGTAATGAATTAAGGATGACCTTCAGACAACAGCCTTCAAGGAATTGAGGCCTCCAGTCTAACAACCCATAATGAAATGAACCCTACCAACAACCACATCAGTGATCTTGGGAAGTGATCTGGAGAAGTGATCCTTCCCCACTTTGCCTTGTGCTGACTACCATCCCCAGTCAGCACTGTGATTACAGCCTATAGGAGACATTGAAGCAGAGGATGCAGCTAAACCATAGCCAGATTATTGTGACCTACAGAAGCTTTGAGATTATAAATGTTGCTATTGCAAGCTCCTAAATTTGGGGAAAATTTGTTATGTAGTAACAGATAACTAATACAGAAAGTTTTATCTGACTTCTAAAACCATAGATTGCTATTGTCTGGTTTTTGTCTTTATATAAATTGAATTATGTAGATGATTCATCTCATTTTGGCTTCTTTTGTTCAACATTATATTTTTTAAATTCATCCAAATTGTTGTATTCAGTAACAATATTTCTGCATATAACAAGGAGTGAAATTATTTCCTCATAGGGTATGTATTTGTTCATTTTATGGTAGGTAATATCAGTTTTTCAATGTGATTGTCCAAATTTATACAGTCATAGGTGATGTGTAAAATTCCCAGTTCCATAATCTTATCATCACTTACTAATGTTAGACTTGTAAATTTTAGTCATTGTAGTAAGTGTATAGTTTTAATTGTGGGTTTAATTTTTTTAAATAATTAGTGATGCTTAGGAAGGTTGAGTGCATTTTCATGTTTGCTGCTTTTTGCATACCTTCCTATTCAATATTTTTGCTTATGTGTCTAATGGGTTGTCTATCCTTTTTTTTTTCCTTCTTGATTTAGAGACTTCTTTATATACCCTATATTCTATAATTTTTTTCTGTTAGCATTTAGTTTACTTTTTAATTCTCTTAGTGGTAACATGAATTTTTAATAGTAACATAGTTAAACTTATCAATTATTTATTTACAAGTTATTGATTTATTTGTTCTATTGCCTGACCTGGAGGACATGAAAATAATCTCTTTGACTTTCTTCTAAACATTTTATTATTTTGTCTTCCATATTGGGATTTACAATCCACCTAGAATCAATTTTATAATGTTAGAAGGTAAGAGTCAAGTTTTATTTTTTTTTCATGAGCGTGTAATGTTGACCTAGCAACATTTATTGAGAAGACTATCCTTTTGCTATAGTTGTCATGAATCAATTTTCCTTACATGTGTGAAACTAGGAATTGTATAAAATGTATAGATAAATATATAAAGAAATGACATTCAAAATTAGTCTTCCAATTCATCATCTTATGTCCCACAATTTGTTAGCCCTTTTAAATCTTTCAGTAATATTTTATATTTTGCAGCATATACTCTTTGTACATTTTGTTAGATTTATTCCTGAAATTTTTTTTAAAGATTTTATTTATTTTTAACAGAGAGAGTGTGTGTACAAGCAGGGGAAGCAGCAGGCAGAGGGAGAGAGAGAAGCAGACTTCCCGCTGAGCAGGGAGCCCAATGTGGGGCTCGATACCAGGACCCTGGGATCATGACCTGAGCCGAAGGCAGATGCTTAACTGTCTGAGCCACCCAGGCACCCCCCCGAATGTTTTTAAATAATTTTTTGAGGCATAAACATGTATATTAAAACATATATAGGGCGCCTGGCTGGCTCAGTTGGTTGGGCGACTGCCTTCGGCTCAGGTCATGATCCTGGAGTCCCTGGATCGAGTCCCGCATCGGGCTCCCTGCTCGGCAGGGAGACTGCTTCTCCCTCTGACCCTCCCCCCTCTCATGTGCTCTCTGTCTCTCTCATTCTCTCTGTCTCAGATAAATAGATAAAATCTTTAAAAAAAAAAACATATATACATAATATAAATTATTATATATAAATACAAATTACTAAAATAATTAATAAAATTAAACCAAGAAGGCAAGACTTATACAATGAAAGCTATAAAACCTAGGTGAAAGAAACTAAAGAAGACACAAATAAATGAAAAGACATCCCATGTTCATGGTTTACAAGAGTTAATATTGTTAAAGTGTCCGTTCTATTGTACACAATCTACAGATTCAATGAAATTCCTATCAAAATCCCAATGACATTTTATTGCAGAAATATAAAAAGTATCCTAAAATTCATATGGACTTTCAAGGAACTCTGAATAGCCCCAACAGTCTTGAAAAAGAAGAATAAAGTTGGAGGCTGCACATTTCCTTATTTCAAAACATATTACAAAGCTACAGTAATTAAAGCAGTCAGGTACTGGCATAAGGATAGACATACAGACAGCTCAGAAATAAACCCTCACATATGTGGTCAAATGATCTTTAACAAGCTTATCAAGACCACACAAGGGGGAAAGGACAGTCTCTTTAATAAAGGTGTTGGAAAAACTGAACATCCACATACAAAAGAATGAACTTGGATCTTTAAAACATATATAAAAATTAACTCAAAATACATTAAAGAACTAGACATAAAATATAAAACTTTAAAAAAAATTTTTTTTAATTTTTATTTATTTGTGGGGGAGGAGCAGAGGGAGAGGGAGAAGCAGACTCCCCACTGAGCAGGGAGCCAGACATGGGGCTAAATCCCAGGACCCTGAGATTAGGACCTGAGCTGAAGGCAGACACTAAACCAACTGAGCCACCCAGGTGCCCCTATAAAACTTTTAGAAGAAAGCATAGAGGAAAATTTCATGACTTTGGTTTTGGCTATGATTTTTTGGATATGACAATAACAAATTACAGAAACAAAAGCAAAAACAGAAAAACGGTACTATGTCAAATTTTAAAACTTCTGTGCATTAAAGGAAACAGCCATGATGTGATGAGTACAGGGTTTTATACAAAATTTATGAATTATTGAACACTACATCTGAAACTAATGATAAGCTGGCTAACTGAATTTAAATTAAAAAAAAAAGAAAAATAATCTGATTTAAAAAAAAGGGGGGGAACAACCAATGGAATGAAAAAGCGATGTACGGAATGAGGGGAAATATTTGAAAATCATATATCTGATAGGGGACAAATATCTAGACTATATAAAGAGCTTCTACAATTTACAACAACAAGAAAGAAGTAACTCAGTTTTTTAAATGTTCAAAGGAGTTACATAGACATTTCATTAAAGAAGAAACAAATAGCCAAGAAGCATATGACAAAATGCTTAATATCACTAATCATTAGAGAAATGCAAATCAAAAATATAATGAGATATTATCTCACACATATTGGGATGGCCACTATAAACAAAATAGAAAATAACAAATATTGGTGAAAATATGGAGAAATTGGAACTCTTGTATAATGTGAATGGAAATAAAAAATGGCAGCGCCTGGGTGGTTCAGTTGGTTAAGTGTCCAACTCTTGATTTTGGCTGACGTCATGATCTCAGGGTTGTGAGATTGAACCCCACATCAGGCTCCATGCAGAGCATGGAGTCTGCTTAAGAGTCTCTCTCTCTTGGGGCGCCTGGGTGGCTCGGTTAATCATCTGCCTTTGGCTTGGGTCATGATCCCAGAGTCCTGGGACCAAGCCCTGCATCAGGCTCCTTGCTCGGCGGGGAGCCTGCTTCTCCCTCTCCCTCTGCTTGCTGCTCCCCCTGCTTGCTCTCTCTCTCTGTCAAGTAAATAAATAAAATCTTGAAAGAAAAAAAAAATCTCTCTCTCTCTCTCTCCCTCTCTCTCTGTCCCTCCCTGTACTACACGCATGCTCTCTCTCTCTCCAAAAAAAAAAAAAAAAAAAATGCAGTTGCTATGGAAAACTATAAGATGGATTCTCAAAAAATTAGAAATAGAGTTAACCATATGGTTCAGAAATTTTACTAATGAGTATGCATCTAAAAGAACTGAAAGCAAGATCTTGAAGAGATAGTTGCATACCCACATTTATTGCAACATTATTCACAATGTTCAAGAGGTAGAAGCAACCCATATGTCTATATGGAGAGAAGAATGGATAAAGAAAATGTTGTGTATATATACAATGGAATGTTAGTCTTAACAAGAAAATCTGTCACATGCTAAAACAAGAACTAACCATGAATAAAAAAAAAATCAAAAAAAAAAAAAACTAACCATGAAAGCATTAAGTGAAATAATCAATTACAAAAGACAAATACTTTATGATTTCACCTATATGAGGTATCTAAGTTAGTCAAACTCAAACACAGAAAGTAGAAATGGTGGTCGCCAAGGGCTGGAGTGAGAAGAGAATGGGATGTACATTTGCTCTCTCTCTCTCTACACACACACACACACAAACACACACACACACACCCTGAAAGTTGTTTTTCTAACTTGCTGGTCTTGCCTCCTATTGTATATGAGACTCAGTAACCCCAACTAAATAAATGAACTCCTGCTATTGAGTCCTGTAAAATGTTCTGCATGGAGTTCTCCATGTGTAAAGCAGCTTAATATAAAAACATTCTAGACCTGTAATTCTGGATAACATTTGAAACCATTAAGCATATATAAATACATAAATTTTAATGTAATAATACTAACATGCAAATTAATTTGATTTGTTTCTGTCTTTTAGAATAAGTATTCTACAGGCTGCAACTCCAAGTATACTGGAAAGTGAGGAAATATAGCTTTTCACACCTAGTGTTTAAAAGAAAAAGTCCTTAGAACAATTTTCAAGCCTGACATAGAAACAAAAATAAAAACTGCACACATTATGTTACACAGGAAGGAGGTTTTTCTTAACATCTGGCCTATTTATGAGAAACTAAGAGCTTGTTCCTGCTCTTGTTTTTAACTGACATGTGTTCAGTAAAAATAGTTCCAAGTTGTCCTTGAGACAAGAAATCCCTTAATTGAGAACCAGAGACTCTTTTCTTGATAAAAGAACTAATCAGACTGTCACAGTTAGTGGGGATAAAGGGAGAGATATACAGCACCAGAGTGTTCCAGGCCACTTTTGCAAATACAGAGGCATGGATGAACTTAATTTGACCTTCCTCTTTTAATATACTGACTTAACATTTAAAGAAATCTCAGTTGTCAGGGTCTTGCGGCCCACTGAACAGCTAGTTGTTCAGTGAGCCACTGAACAACTAGCTGTTGTACACATTGTCAGGTGTACAAATAAAAACTAAAAAAAAAAAAAATTCCAGATAAATAAAAACTGAGAATTTTTTACTGGCAGACCCATCTCACAAGAAATAGTGAAATTCTTAGATTGAAAATGAGCCAAGATAATATGAATGCACATAAAGAGAAGAACACTAGTAAATTATGTAATTATATGACAGTATAAATAGTTTTCTTAACTGATTTTTTTAAATAAATAAATAAATAAAATCGTTAAACTGTATTTACTGGTCTGTAAAATGCCAGTAATAATACCTACATCATAAGCATGTGCTGAAGAATAAATTAAATTTAATTAGTAACACCTATAAGGAATTAATACAATGTCTACCATGTAGTAGGCACCAAATGCATTTTACTTATTACAACATTTCAGGTTTCAATGCCTCAACAAAACCTATATACTATGAGATAAAAATGTAAAAATTAATTATATAAGTATTTCTTTTTCAGCAGTAATCAAAAATTGTCTACTGAAACAGCATGATATTATCTACCTCTCAGTGTAGCTTAGATTTTAAAAAGCTATGATTCCACTTGTTTGGGAGGATGTGAAAGGACATACTTTATATATATATTTGGAGAGTAGGAGAGTATAAACATTTCCAGAAGGAAATTTTACAGAATGTCTCAAAAGTCTCTAAGAGGAGCATAACCTTTAACCAACGTGTTCACTTTCACAGTTGGATCCACTCAATCACAAATACTTAGTGAAGGCCTATTATGTGTCAAGTACTTTTTTGAGGGACTCGGAAGTCAAAAAGACACAAAAATCGCTGCCTTCATGGAGGTAACATTCTAGCAGGCAATAAAAATATAAACTATCCAGGGGCTCCTGGGTGGCTCAGTCGTTAAGCGTCTGCCTTCGGCTCAGGTCATGATCCCGGCGTCCTGGGATCGAGCCCCGCATCGGGCTCTCTGCTCAGCAGGAAGCCTTCTTCTCCCTCTCCCACTCCCCCTGTTTGTGTTCCCTCTCTCACTGTGTCTCTCTCTGTCAAATAAATAAATAAAATCTTTAATATATACATATATAAACTATCCAGAATGTCATATGACAGTTTCTATGCAGAAAAGCGAAGCAGGAATAGGGGAGAGAAAATGCTGGCAATTTAAAGTAGACCAATTTTATAGAGGGGGTCAGGAAGAGCACCAGTGAAGTGACCCTTCAGTGAAGAGCTAAAGCTGTAAAGGGAGTAGATCACTTGGATATATAGGGAAACAGCCTAGGTTGCCGGGGAAACAGCAAGTACAAAGGCCCTAGGGAAAGATCATGCTCAGCATGTTTGTGAGAGGCCAGGAGAGGGAAGTTATAGGGGAGAAACCCCAAGTCCATAACCCCTGTAGTCTCCTGTGAGGACAATGTTTTTATATATACTGAAGCAAGATGCTCTCAGCCTGAGATGAGTTCAGGCCTTCTCTGAACTGTCCACTACACCCAGAGCTAGCATCAGAGGTGAGATTGAGAAGATTCGAGTCAGTGCCCCAGAAGCATCTAAAATGGTTCACTCCTTGCACCACTCTGATCACTGTGCCTTACAGTAAATGAAATCCATCATCGTATCTTCAAGTTGGTGACTAGCTACAATCCTATAAAGGACTTCATACACATGACTTTGTACATGCCACAGACTTTAACTCCTGCAACTTGTCATAGGCCATAATTGATGTTCATCATGTCTCTCCTCCACCACCCATTTTAGATTTTCCTTGTTATAGCCAAAAGCAGGCATCCTCCTTTAGCTATTAAACAAAGTTGAGCTATGTGCCTAAAACACTCCTTCTACAAAACAAGACTAACCCAAAGAGAAAATATAACTGGAATGATACTTAAGGATTTAATAACTTCAGGTACTAGAAGGTCAGCTTATCCTCTGATGAAAAAGGTAATGAGCTCCTGTGGGACAGCACATTCTACTTATTTATTAATGTTTATAAAGAGTGCATGTAGCCCTTTGTTTTTACTTTTTATATGGCTGCATTGTTATATGACATACTCATACTAATGCCCACAAATACTGTCCAATGGCAAGTTACAATCACCCAGAATATATTTCACTTTGTTGAATAAAGTTACAGATAAGATTTTGCAGTTGGGGAAAAAAAAACATAAATTTCTCATGGTTTTCTGTCATAACTTAAACATACAATATTACCAGTTGATCAGTATTTGTCAAAATCATGGAAAATCTACAATAATGGAGTAGCATTTGGACTCTACATTACACTTGACTTTATATATGTTTCCCTTTTATTTTGACTAATTCATCATAATCTATTTGGGATACAGATACTACATTTATTTTGTTTTGTTTTGTTTTTTAATTTTAACATTTTTCCAAGTAGTCATGCAAAAGTTAAGTCCAGCAAATAGTTTGAAGATTTCCATGACATTTGAAGAATGTCACTCTTCATCATGATGTCCAGTAGAGCAAACCTCATTCTAAAATGTAATAATTACAACAACTCATTCAAAACAATAGCAAAGTTTCTTCAAGACATTAATAAATACTTTTATATTTGATTTATAGTGAATCCAAGTAAATTCAAAGCTTTTTATGCTCTGCGGCATCTTCATCAAATTTTGAGGGTTCTTTTCTTTTTACTCCATTTGGAAACTACATGTTATAAGTATTGTCTGTCCTGGTGAAAATTATTCACTAACTCAACAACATATACAAACTTTTAGTTCTGGAATAGACTAGCTATGATCTCGTAATCGTTTGAATAATTTTTAAAATTTGAATATTGTTTATTAGCTCAGGGACAAATACAGGCCTAAGTAGTCCCAAGAGAATAACTCCAATCCCTCAACTTAAAAGCTTAAAGAATGGCACCAAGGGATGCCACAGCCTTGATTCAAACTTCCATCATTTCATAATAAAGGAGATAGATATAGGATAAGAGACATCAACTACTCTTTCTTATAGCTACATGTTTATTTAACATTTGCAATGACCGGTCTAAAATGTCTGTTCAAATATTTGATGGTCCCTTCCAAGAGAGGGTGGGAGGCAGAATTCCTGCTTTTTACAACAGCAACTACCAAAGAAGTCCATGACCTAAGGAGATAATAAGGTTCTATAAGATCTTTTTTTTAGGAAATACACACTGGATTATTTAGGAGTAAAGAGGCATTATGCCTATAACTAACTCTGAAATAGTTCAGAGAGAGAAGGAAAGTACACGTGGTAAAATAACCTTTGGGAAATTGGGTAAATCTCTTCTCTCTTTTACCAAGTTTGTGAGGAATTTTATCAGTAATTCAATCTCTTTACTTGTCTACTTTGGTGCATTCGGATGAGCTATTTATTCTTGAGACAGTTTAAGTAGTTTGTGTCTTTCTAGGTACTAGTCTATTTTTCTTTTATTTTCTTTTTGTAAAGATTATTTATTTATTTATTTATTTGAGAGAGAGTACGAGCGAGCCGGGGCAGGAGCAGAGGGAGAGGGACAAGCAGACTCTGCCCTGAGTGTGGAATCTGACGTGGGGCTCAATCTCACAACCCTGAGACCATGACCTGAGCCAAAATCAAGAGTTGGCCACTTAACCCACTGAGCCACCCAGGTGCCCCGGTACTAGTCTATTCTTTAAACAATTTGTTGGCATACAGTTGTTCATAGTATTGTCTTGTAATTCTTTTTGTTTCTGAAAGTCAATATTAATATTCCCTATTTCATTCCTGATTTTAGTAATTTGAGTCTTCCATCCTTTTTTCTTGGCCAATTTGACTTAAAGTTTGTCAATTTTGTTGATCTTTTCAAAGATAGGCTTTTGGTTTCATTAATTTTCTCTATTTCATTAATTTCATTACACTCATTTACAAAAATCTTTATTATTTTCTCCATTCCGTTCTTTGGCTTTAGTTTGCTCTTCTTTTACCAGTTACTTAAGGTGAAAAGATACTGAGTTGAGATTTATTATTTTCTTAATGGCTGCCCCAGGGCTAACCACATATAAACATAGATATAAATAGATAGAGATATAGATCTTCTTTAAGCCTAAAATTTATGCTAAATTAGCTCCAGCAAGATATAGAATTTTTACTCCTATGCTCCTACTCCTTTTTGAGCTACTGATCTCATATATATTACATATTACATCTACATATATTACAAGCCCAACAATACATTGCTGTAATTATTAATTTATATAATTGTGTGTCTTTTAAAGAAGCTGAAGGAGAAAGAATAAATGTATAGGACTTGTTATATTAACTTTCATACTTACAATTTCTGGTTCTCTTTATTCCCATGGATTCAAGTCAATGTCTGGTGTTATATCTTTATTCCAATAAGCTTTGCACTCATGTAACTCCTTTGCTCTGTTGTTAATATATTACATTTATATATGCTATAGGCCCTGTGATACAATTATATACATATTATTTTATACAATTGCATTTTAAGTTAGTTAAGAAAAGAGAAATAATATGCATTTATTTTGTCTTTTATAATTACATATTCCCTCACTGATGTCGTTAGTTTTTCCACTTGGGGT